AAAAAAGACCTGGAAAAGTAGGGTCCAAGGTCTTTCCTAACAAACATAAAATATTCTTTTGCGCTGATTCTCCAAACCCCAAGAACGTAGGTTTAATCAAATCGACCAAATGTTCTTCCAAAATACGATTTAAAATTTTCCAAACCTCGAAGGAAAATGATCGCGGGGAAACCACTGTCAATATTTCCAAACCCGTACCTATTTTGGAATTTCTTCCAACTCAATCCATAACTCCATATATTAAGTAAGCACAGAAATCTTCCCATCAAACCGCAGACATGCTCCCGATCGGGGTCATTACAAAAGAGATGAACAGCAGGTAGGCTCACGACCAAGGATCAGCAGAAAAGAGGAAACAACCTACAAGGCTCTTACAAGAGGACACAACCTACAAGGCTCTCGGCCACAGCCAGGGATGGGGATAGGAGGGACTCACGACTAGAGCAAGGAATGGCTACCAAACTCCATAACCAAAGGCATTATATAAGTCAATAAATGAGGCTTATAGTTAAGGCAACAAAGGGGCCCAAAAAAGAACTAATAAAGCTCACGGCTTAAGACAGCAAAGAGCAACTGCTAAAGTCCACATCCAAAGCACAAGGGGCTCACGACCGAAGCCAACAAAAGGACCACCAAAAGGCAGTTATGCCTCCCTGATTAAATGAAGGGATAACTGAAATAAATATGATTTTCTTTTTGGATGACAAACTTGATTCATCCACAACACTCAAGTCAATCCAAGCTTAGCAGGGAAAGCCAAATCACACCCAAAGACCTGCAACAGACCTCACAGGTAAGGAGTAGGAACCAAAGCCAGTAAAGCCGCCTCCCAACTATTCCTCGGGTAAAGGCTGAACCAAGCAACACAGCCCTCAACAAGAAACAAAGCCAAAGCCAGCCTCAAACAAGAAACAAAGCCAAAGCCAGCCTCAACAAGAACCGAAGCCAAACACAGCCCCCAACTAGAGCCAAACTGAGCTCAACAAAACCAAAGCCAAAAC